CTCTGGAGGTAGGGTGCTTAACGGAGGAGCCAGGGAGAAAGGAAAAGAAGGGGAAAACTTCACCACTATCATTGATAAACTGTATTTAACCTGCTTTGTTGTGACCTGCAATTGTTGTGCATATCCATATCTTGATGTTCTGGCTTACTTTTTGTCTGTGATTATATATACGCTGCCATTCAAAAGTTTAAGGTCAGTAATAAATTAATACCTTTATTCAGTGTGCAGTGATCAAAAGGGACAGTAAAATCATTTATAATGTTCGGTTTAAAAAAAAATCTGTTCTTTTGAACCTTCTATTCAAGGAAGCCTGAAAAAATGAATCAGTTTCCATAAAAATATTAAGCAGTATGATTATTTTCAACATTGATGAGAAATGTTTCTTGAGCACCAACTCTACATATTAGAATGATTTGGGAAGGATCATGAAGACTGGAGTAATGACTGCTGAAAATTCAGCTTTGCCAATGCAGGAGTAAAATAGATATTAAAATATACTGAACAAATATACTGAACTAGAAAACATTGTAAAAAATATTTCACAATATAACTGTTTTTACTGTATTTTTATATTAAAAATAAAAAAATCAACCTTGGATAGCATTAAAAAGTATTTTCAATATCATTAAGAATTTCTTACCAACCAAACTTTTAAACTGAAATGTTCCACTAAGATAAAAGATGTGTGACAGACGCTGAAGGCTTTCCACTAGATGTTGGAACATGGCTGCAGGGATTTTCTCGGCACTGAGGTCAGAAACTGATGTTCCAATTCATCCCAAAGGTGTTCAGTGGGGTTAATGTGTGGGCTTTGTGCAGGCTAGTCGAGTTCTTCACACTCAGTAAACATATTTTACTAGTGCCATCCTATGACAGTGCCATGGGCAAAATCACTGAGCTCTTCGGTACACCCTATTCTACTGAAAATGTTTGTCTAAGGAGATTGCATGGGTGTACGTTTGATTTTATGCGCATGTTAGTAATGGATGAAGCTCAAATAATATGTGATTGTCCATTTTGTGCATGTGTGCAGAAAACACCATATCTGACCATTGTGTGTTTAGCCATTTTTTATTTTCTCTCTTTTACAATGTGTTTACCAAATTATCATTACATTTGCCACACTTCAAAAATGTTAATTAGAAGTGTATAATTTATTGGGGTCTCCCCAGAATCATTAATGAAATCCACAGTTTGTGGAAATGGATTATTTATATTCAATGTTTAGTCCACACCAATTAAACATCTCTCCCCCCCAAGCTATCACAGCTTTTCAAAATAGTACCATCTACAGTATACTATGGCACCATGTTGTTGTGTTTTTTTTTTCTCTCTCTCTCTCTCTCTCTCATTTCCATTTTTATGCACATTCATAACATTATCATGTATAATTTGCTTATGGCTAACTCCTTGAGTACTGTGGCTAGAACAATTAGAATGCCATCATGAATTAATGAAGGCCTCCATTTTTTTTCTCCTTAATCGTCAAGGTCTCCACATCATGCATTTTATCTTTGACAATGTGTTTTTAAGACCCTTTTATGTGCGTATGCACTACATGGGTTAAAGGCCGTTATTGTGCAAAGATCATTTCGTATTTGAATTTGTGAACTGATTTTTCCATTGACCTACATAAAAACAGGTGTTTAAATTTACATTGGTTTGATTCTGGTTCAAGGATCAATATTTGAAAATATTTTAATGATCATTTTAAATGGCTTATGGAAAATATCCTGGAAAAGAATAAATTAACAAATATTAAGGTCATGTTCCTTCACGCATTACAAGATTTTTCAGAACTATGCCTTTAGTTTTGTACCATTCTTACAAAACAAAACAAAAATTACAATTAAAAAGAGACCAATTCAGAGAGGTTTCTGGTATAGTTTTTGGCCAGTAAACAGCCAGAAGAGGCAACAAGTACTGTATTTAGCCCACACTGTCCAGTTTATGATTTCCTGAGGAAAGCTCCTACAGGATGTCTCTAAATAATACATCCTATCTGTCTTCCCCAGCAAAACATAAAAGGACATAATAGCTCGCTTTTGCCGCAGTGGCATAGATGTCTTTGTATCAACTCGAAGTACACTTCTGGGGAGATTAGAGAATTCCCTGCAACATAGTGCCTATCTTTAAACTGCTCACCAGCGCCGTGTCATACAGGCTTGTATCCTGGTAGGAGATTTACAGCTGTCCTTATTAGCTGTTACGAACAGGAGATGTGGAGATCAGCACTCAGGTTCATCTCGCTGGTGAATTATTGATAGGTCTTCGTTCACTCAGACTTGATGGAGGGACTGGTGTACTTGTCCAGGAATAGATGCTCTCCGAGTATGTTGAAGTCCACAGACTGCACCACCAACCTTAGGAGTCTTCGCTGTTTGAACCCATCAATGTCAGAATGCATCCATTAGGTTTGCTTACTCTGCTGAAAATACTGGCTTAGGAATTTTCACACTGGCTTACACTGGTTAATGCTCTTTTTGGTGGATCAGCATAGCCAAATTTTGCTGGTTAAACAAGTTATAAAGCCTGGTAGAGACACCGCCAGCATCTCATGATGATTGAAGGATGAAATTTAAATTGCTCAGATGTTGCTCTTTCATAGCTCTGGAACCTTTTTAAATTACGCTTCATTTAAGTATCAACTTTTCTTTAAATGTTTCTCCTAAATTTCCCTAAGAGAAGCAAACTTTCTCAGGATAGAAATCTAGGAAATAAGAGACTTTCTCCTGGAATAGCCGTCTCAAACAAATGTATCTCATAGCTGCAAATGCAGGAGAGCTGCACAAAAGCAGGTCATTCCTTGATCTAGATAAGACAATGTGCTGGCCTATTTGTTGGTAGTCTCTGGAGGTAGGGTGCTTAACGGAGGAGCCAGGGAGAAAGGAAAAGAAGGGGAAAACTTCACCACTATCATTGATAAACTGTATTTAACCTGCTTTGTTGTGACCTGCAATTGTTGTGCATATCCATATCTTGATGTTCTGGCTTACTTTTTGTCTGTGATTATATATACGCTGCCATTCAAAAGTTTAAGGTCAGTAATAAATTAATACCTTTATTCAGTGTGCAGTGATCAAAAGGGACAGTAAAATCATTTATAATGTTCGGTTTAAAAAAAAATCTGTTCTTTTGAACCTTCTATTCAAGGAAGCCTGAAAAAATGAATCAGTTTCCATAAAAATATTAAGCAGTATGATTATTTTCAACATTGATGAGAAATGTTTCTTGAGCACCAACTCTACATATTAGAATGATTTGGGAAGGATCATGAAGACTGGAGTAATGACTGCTGAAAATTCAGCTTTGCCAATGCAGGAGTAAAATAGATATTAAAATATACTGAACAAATATACTGAACTAGAAAACATTGTAAAAAATATTTCACAATATAACTGTTTTTACTGTATTTTTATATTAAAAATAAAAAATCAACCTTGGATAGCATTAAAAAGTATTTTCAATATCATTAAGAATTTCTTACCAACCAAACTTTTAAACTGAAATGTTCCACTAAGATAAAAGATGTGTGACAGACGCTGAAGGCTTTCCACTAGATGTTGGAACATGGCTGCAGGGATTTTCTCGGCACTGAGGTCAGAAACTGATGTTCCAATTCATCCCAAAGGTGTTCAGTGGGGTTAATGTGTGGGCTTTGTGCAGGCTAGTCGAGTTCTTCACACTCAGTAAACATATTTTACTAGTGCCATCCTATGACAGTGCCATGGGCAAAATCACTGAGCTCTTCGGTACACCCTATTCTACTGAAAATGTTTGTCTAAGGAGATTGCATGGGTGTACGTTTGATTTTATGCGCATGTTAGTAATGGATGAAGCTCAAATAATATGTGATTGTCCATTTTGTGCATGTGTGCAGAAAACACCATATCTGACCATTGTGTGTTTAGCCATTTTTTATTTTCTCTCTTTTACAATGTGTTTACCAAATTATCATTACATTTGCCACACTTCAAAAATGTTAATTAGAAGTGTATAATTTATTGGGGTCTCCCCAGAATCATTAATGAAATCCACAGTTTGTGGAAATGGATTATTTATATTCAATGTTTAGTCCACACCAATTAAACATCTCTCCCCCCCAAGCTATCACAGCTTTTCAAAATAGTACCATCTACAGTATACTATGGCACCATGTTGTTGTGTTTTTTTTTTCTCTCTCTCTCTCTCTCATTTCCTTTTTTTATGCACATTCATAACATTATCATGTATAATTTGCTTATGGCTAACTCCTTGAGTACTGTGGCTAGAACAATTAGAATGCCATCATGAATTAATGAAGGCCTCCATTTTTTTTCTCCTTAATCGTCAAGGTCTCCACATCATGCATTTTATCTTTGACAATGTGTTTTTAAGACCCTTTTATGTGCGTATGCACTACATGGGTTAAAGGCCGTTATTGTGCAAAGATCATTTCGTATTTGAATTTGTGAACTGATTTTTCCATTGACCTACATAAAAACAGGTGTTTAAATTTACATTGGTTTGATTCTGGTTCAAGGATCAATATTTGAAAATATTTTAATGATCATTTTAAATGGCTTATGGAAAATATCCTGGCAGCATGAAGACTTTGTCCAAATACTCCTTCCAACAATTTTCTTTGTGGGGGAAAAAACAAGCATTTCAGTGCCACCCGTCTTCCTCTTAAAAACACGTTGACAGCAAGTTTGTTGAAGGTGGGGATTTGAGATCTGACAAGACAAAGGATTCTTAGCGATGTGCAAAGGCTGAAAAACATTCAAAACTGTCCCGAAATTGCACTCTTTTCCCCCAAAACGGTCTCTGTAAGAACGTCTAGATCATCTTGCATCACACACTTAAAATCTTTCCTGAAGTCTTAAGTCTTAAATAGCTGCAAAACCTGTCGTCATACTTATATCCTGTCAAAAAATAAATCGCTTTTGTTGATTGTTGGCTTGAAATCACAGAAGCACTCTGAAGTAATATTATCATGTGTGTGTATATTTGCATTGCAGAATTGCTATACTGGAGAGTGGAAGCCTACGGATATACAACACCACTAAAGCGGATACTGGCACGTACACGTGTGTTGCCCATAACCAGTTTGGCGAGGCCAGCAGCTCTGGAAACCTACTTGTTAAAGGTATTTGCTTCAGTTCAGTCATTTTGGAGTCTTTGAGGATAATAAAGTCTCTTCTGCCACATATTTATTGGATATTTGGTTTTATACAGAACATTCTGTGTTATGCATCCGCCCAATTCGCATTACAACATCTTTTCTGTATGCTCATATGTATTTTGTCTGAGTATATACCTTCCAAAGCTATCTGATCTTAACCAAGTGGAATCCTTTTATTTCCTAATGAGATGAAGGAGTGTAGTGTCAGAACACCAGCATGGGGAACCCGGAGGGACCCAAATCACACTTGTGTTGAGTCACTGGAGCAGTGAGTTATTATGCTGTATTAAATATGAATGAGCAGTGGGTGTGTGGTGCCGAGCATGTTCACTTAGAAGTGTTCTAAGGCTGGGGGGATTTTCAGGATGTAAGAACCACTCAGTTGAGGTCTCCATACCCTGAAATTTCAGTTTGAATTGGAATTTAGGTGTCAAACAGGATGCGTGCTTGCAATTCGAATTTTAAAAAGACATTCTAAAGTTAAGCAGCTGCAGTTTTTAAGTCGAAAAGACAAACTTAAATCTTGGCTGGACATCCTTCAGTTTCAGATGCAATTCAAATTCCAATTCAACTTCTTGTGGGGTTTTGCCAATTCATTTCCAACGTATTCATATAAAAGACTAATTCTTCAGTTCTGTATTTTGCACAGCCCTGAAGATGGGAGTGTCTGTTGTCTGGTTGTGTGCATTACAAAATGTTGTAAGCCCAGTTAAATGAATCACATATGTGATTAATTGCAACATTATGCATTAAGGGAAGGAATTAATTAAGGCCATTTGGAGCAGTCCGGACTCTCATTTTTGATTTAATTCTGTTTTTAAATTGGATGGGATGCCAGCAGTACTTGAACCACCAACTGTTATTTGCCCAGAAAGTTGGCAAAAATTCATAATGAAGGTGAACCAGGCAGCACGACTACAGATTTAGATTTAGTTACAGTATTTGGCAAAGGTCAAAATAAATGAGGAGAACGGCTGTGAAAAAATAATACACCAAAATCACAGATTTTTCTAACTGGTCGGGATTGGATTTTTCAAAGGTCGCCCAAGGTGGCTGAAGAACAGTGGCTAATTTGTTCTATAGTTTTTACTGAGAGATAAAATCAAAAGTGCAACTATGAAACACAATTTTACCTAAACTCCCCAGGGAAAATTAATCTTGTCCGAATAGGGCTTTTCCTTCATATTACAGTTTGTTTATTTAGGATAAATTAAATCCAAGCGCTTCAGAAAGTAAGTAAGGGTGAGTAATTAATGACAGAATTTTCGTTTTTGGGGTAACTAACCCTTTAAACCAGCCTTTTCCAGTACAGCTATCAGAAGCACTTAGTAAAAGTGGTTTCCAACCATTTTATTGATGGTCTTTCAAATATATGTCCTTAACAAACATTCAATAGGTTTATTTTAATGTGATCCTGCAGAAAGCAAAGTTACAGGTCTATAAAAACCTCTGTATTTATCACCTCACTCACATAAAGTTCTTTTAAAAGTGAATAATTTCTCAAACCGCAGGGTTTCTTGTGCCTTAAGTTTGACGTTTTAGTCTACTTCATTAACCTTTATCAGCCATTGAAACCCTAAATCATTGCATGTCAAGGGGAGATCCATCAAAATCTCAATAAATATTGAGTTTCCTTCATTTTGTATTCGTATGTATTATCAAGTTATTGACATGACGCATGGCAACGTGGTGTGAGTAAATGGCATTTATAGATAGATGGACTGGGGCAGAGGACCTTAACCACGACTGATAGATATATTCAATGACGCTGGGCACTTTTCACTTGCCAAACATGTCAACTGAAGTGATACGCCACTGGCAGCTATATGTCAACCTCCATTTTATCTCCATTAGTATGTCAGATGGGTGTACACATGCTTCATCAGCAAAGAAAATCCATAAATATACCATACAGTCAAAACGAATGTACACTACTTTAGAGGGACGCAAAAACCTTATGCACTGCAAAAACATCTCATTTAGTATTCATAAGTATTTGTTTGTTCACATAATCAAACTGATACCGTATGGATAGCTTCTAAAATGTCTATTATTATATGTGAACTTTGACCATTTTTTTTTATTTATTTTTATAAAAAAATTGAGATTATTGAAATTAAATTCATTTTAAGCTTGTTTACCTGCTTGGACATTTAATCTATTTTATTCTTCTCAGTATAAAAAAAAAAGGTAAAATTAATTTAAATTAATAAAATAGTCATGGAAGTGTATGTAGAGAAACTTTATATAAATCTTAAGAATCATGTCAAGTAATCTTATATTTTTGTAGGCACTTTGGTAATCATGTGAATGAAGCTCATGACATTTCCTGATCCTATTCCCTCATTTTCTCCTCATTGTTCTCTCCACTGTGTCTATAAATAAAAAAAGGGCAAAATAAAAATGCTTATCTATATTGCACTGTTAAAACACAAATTGGGTTCCTATCCAATTTAAGAGTAAATTAAATTACTATGGACAATCAGTTGTCATCTTCAGTGATGTAGTTTTGGGTTTTGTCCTATTTTTGTGTCTTTTTGCTCCTGTGGAACACAGTGTTTTAATGGCGGGTTTGAGTTTTTCGTAGATCACACAGGAAACAATTACTTTTAGTTGTTTTACCTAGTTTTACTCAACATCAGTGCTGCATGATTGTTTTCTCGAAGTTGAGGGAAAGTTTTAATTTGCTTCAGTGGTGGGTTTTCATTGCAGACAAAGAGCAAGCCGAACATACTTTCTGCTCCAAATTTGTCATGGAAGTTCAATGTAATTGCTTTTTTTATTCCTAATTATGAATTTTACCAATTTTGATACTGTCTTAACCACTCATGCTGAAGAAATTTCTATATATTGTCTTTCCTATGTTATGTGGTTCTTATAGTCAAACAATAATATTGATAATGCATCATTATTATTTTATATATTTTTTATTTTATTGTAGTTTTATATGAGACATACAGTATGTATATACAGTGGGTACGGAAAGTATTCAGACCCCCTTAAATTTTTCACTCTGTTATATTGCAGCCATTTGCTAAAATCATTTAAGTTAATTTTTTTTCCTCATTAATGTACACACAGCACCCCATATTGACAGAAAAACACAGAATTGTTGACATTTTTGCAGATGTATTAAAAAAGAAAAACTGAAATATCACATGGTCCTAAGTATTCAGACCCTTTGCTCAGTATTTAGTAGAAGCACCCTTTTGATCTAATACAGCCATGAGTCTTTTTGGGAAAGATGCAACAAGTTTTTCACACCTGGATTTGGGGATCCTCTTATATATATATATATATATATATATATATATATATATATATATATATATATATATATATAAAATTTAGCATAAAATATTTAAATGATTTGTAGAGATTCTTGTACACATTCCTATAATAAATATAGCATACACACACACACACACAAAAATCACATTTAAAACAAATGACAAGGTCACAGGTGTGTCTTGCTAATAGTCTGACCTTGTTTGAGTTTGATTTCTTGACTCTAGCCTCAGCAGGGGCCTGTCGCACAGATCTGCGCATTGGCTTTGCTCAATTGCTTTTGTGGCAGATCATTGTGAGCCTCCCAGAACACTTGACCCATATGAGACTGCAATATTCAAGTAGAAATATTAGAGGCAGACGAATAACATGTAGTCTGGCTCTAGGATACTTCCACAGACCATTTAACCATGCTTGGTCATTCTGTAGTAGTGTTTTTATGTTCCTGTCACCTTCCTTTCTACCACTATGAAGCACGACATCAGCAATACAGAAGAAGCTGAGTTCATTTCAAATGTGTGAACACACTTTTGAGGTCATTGGCGTTTCTCTTCAAGAAAGAGTAGGTCTGAAAGTTTCCACAGGTTGCCCTGCTAACGTATAGGGTCTCATCCTCTCTCAACAGCTTTAATGATAGACAGTAAAAGTAACAAGGTATTATGTGAGATGAATATCACTCAGATTACGTCAACGAGAGCTTGAGGGCGTCGGGTCTTTTAAACGAGGTTATCTATGCAATCTGTCACAAATGATGATGGAGCAGGGTAATAAGAGGCATTTTCTCCAGTTTTACAACCTCGAGAGTAGGACAGCAGTGTCAGCTTTGCCTTGAATGAATTCTCAGGTTTCACTTCAGAGATTTTCTTGCCGCTGTTCAGGGCTGCATTTGTCTGCATTTGAATTTGCGGATCAGCGCAACCACGCTTTCCCTCATTGAGGTGCATTTCATTCATTGAGACTACAATAGGAGGTATTAATAGCTTCTTGTTGGCTTACAATGGTAATTTTTCACCTGTTCAGTTCAGGCTGATGCTTGTTTAAATATAGACCGTAGAGAAATCCGCCTTGTTTGGAGACCCCAAGCCACTAAAGGGAGCCGAGGGACATCTGTCTACTATAAGAGACGGCAAACAATAACATGAGTACATTACAAGGAGAACAGGATGAAAGAGGTGAAGATATCGGGGGTGGGAAAAAAGGTACATTGTTCAACGAATTCTCCAACAAGTGCCGTTCCTACAGGAGAAGAGCGAGTAACATGCACTCTTCTGGGCTTCAAGGCGAGTGCTGTTGAATTCTGAATTAAATTGCCAGGCTAAGAGTTGACAGTAGAATACCAGGCAGTGGCGTATTGTCATCCCATTGTGTGAATCTGACAGACAGTCAGTGAGAGATCTCATCCAAACAATAAAAGAAGCGAGACTCATCCGACGGCCCCTCATTGTGTTCAGCACAAAACCCATAGCAATGCACCTGTTAGCTTTGCCTTTCCAGTTTGATATCAGTCGAGATGGGGAAAAGTTGTTTCATGTGTCGTAGACCTGTAATTCCAGAATTGAATCCTCACACATAGATTGGAGCTTGTGCGGGGTGCTTTCTGCATAAATTTGCGCTCGTCTGAGGTATCGTTCACCGTGCTTAATTTAGTCAGACTGACATTTCAGCGGAATACACACAGCACCCTCAAGAGGTGCAAAAGCAAACTGCTGCAGAATTTTTGCACCTGTTCTACACAAGACTGCACTGAAAGTGGAGGAGCAGGCGTGCTTGTCGTGTTCCCTCGTGAAAAGGCATCAGTCTCTGTGTGAACTGAGACTTGGAAAGAAAGTGAACTGGGCGCCAGCCCTGCCGGGGCTGGTGGTGTGTTATCTGTTTTTCGGAGTAGTGCATTCTGGGAGAGCAGATGGGATTTTAGGGGCTTAGACAGTGACACATGGTGTAGCTCAGGGACCGTTCATGGGATATTCACCTCTCAGTCCGTCCTCAGATATTGGCCTGTAAGCTGACCCACCGTCTGTCATGGAGCTCTGAACTTGATCTTACTTTTAAGCAATGTTCATTTGTAGTTTAATGAAAAAAGTTTATTTGAAATAATTACGATATGTGATTGATTCATTAATTGAATTAATCATAATTTCGCTCTTTGAAAATCTCTCAAATTAAGATAATTGAAAGACATTATTATGGCTGATGAGTCAATAATTTAATATAGACTACAGTTCAAAAGTTTGGGTTTGGTAAGATGTTTTTGTTAACTGTTTTGTTAACTGTTTAACAAAACAGTTAACAGCTGTTTTGTATTTTTTATATATTTTAAAATGTTAAAATGCATCCTTGCTAAATAAAAGTATTAATTTCTAGAAAAAAAATCTTACTGACCCTTGTGAATGGTAGTGGCTTTAGAAGTTAATAATTACTTTTTGAAAAGATTTCAAGTGTAACTATTAATACAGTGGGTATAGGGGGGGAAAAATCACCTTTTGCTTTAATTACAGCCTTTAGTCTTTTGGGATTTGTCTCTATTAACTTTGCACATCTAGACTTTGCAATATTTGCCCACTCTTCTTTGCAGAACCGCTCGAGTTCAGTTAAATTTGATGGTGAACGTTTGAGGACTGCAGTCTTCAAGTCATTCCACAGATTTTCAGTGGGGTTTATGTCTGGGCTCTGAGTCTGACTAGACCATGCAAGGACATTCACCTTTTTCTCTTTTGCTGTGTGCTTTGGGTCATTGTCATGTTGGAAGGTAAACCTTCTTCCCATTGACAACTTTCTGGCAGAGGGCAGCAAATTTTCCTCAAGAATTTGACTGTATTTTGCTCCATTAATTTTTCCTTCTATCCTGACAATTGCTCCAGTTGCTGCTGCAGAGAAACACCCCCAGAACAGGATATCACCACCTCCATGCTTTACTGGAGGAATGCTGCTATTTGGATGGTGAGCTGTGTTGGATTCCCGCCAGACATTTCGTTTAGTGTTGAGGCCAAATAATAAAATTTTAGTCCAATCTGAAGGTGTGTTTTGTCAAAGCTCAGTCGTGACTGCATGTGGCCTTTCTTGAGGATTGGCTTTTATCTTGCAACCCTCCCATACAAGCCACATTTGTGGAGAATTTGTGATATTGTTGTCGTAGGCACACAATGAGCACTCTTTGTCATAAATTCCTGCAGCTGCTTCAGAGTTGCTGTAGGCCTCTTGGTAGCCTCTCTGAGCAGTTTCCTCATGGCTTTTTCATCTAGTTAGTTTGGAGCGACGTCCTGATCCAGCGAGGGTCTATGTTGTACCAAATACCTTCGACGACTTATATTTCACTGTACTTCTAGACATTGATAAAGCCTTTGAAATACTTGTATCCATCTCCTGACTTGTGCATGTCCAAAACTTTATCCTGGAGATCTTTTGACAGTGCCTTGCCACCCATAGTTGATTGTTTGCTTCAGTTGCACTACCAAGGACTGAAATGCTCCAGGAAAGCTCTTTTCATGCTGAGCTAATCAAAATGACCACAGCTAATCCCAGTTAAAAGTGAAATGGCTTTGTGTGCCATTGAGAAGGTGATTAGCTACACTAGTCATTTTTAAGAGGGGGTGATCTTTTTTCCAACTCAGTTATTATGTTTTTTTTTTCTGACTTGTTGGTGTTCTATCTTTCACTTGGATGTTATAGGTTGCACAGAGTAAATACAGCTGGATATAACAAAAACTGTGTCCATCTTCATTTCAGGCTTCAAAGCAACAAAATGTGATTATTTTAAAGGGGGGTGATTATTTTCTATACCCACTGTATATTGTTTTCCAGAGCCAACAATCATTACAACTGCTCCCAACACGTTGGACGTGACCGTCGGCGAGAGCATCATTCTTCCCTGCCAGGTGTCCTACGATTACTCGCTGGAGCTCAAGTTCACCTGGTTTTTCAACGAGCAGCTCATCCACTTCGGCAGCCATGGAGGATACTTTGAAAAAGTTGGCGGAGTAAGAAGAAAATAATTACAAATACCTTATTCAGTGGTTTATATATTTATACTGCATCCAAAAGTTTCTGCTAATACTGGGAGTGCCAAGATGTAGTGAATAGTTTTTGGCTGGTCATGTGATTTCATCATGGCAGTCACAATGGAATATGACTACGCTTATATAGAACAAAATAACATGAGAAAATCTAGATTCCTAATTTCCTTTTATTTAATGCCACCATAACCTTTAATAAATATCACATTAATATTATTTTATTATTGGCAGCCTACTTAGTTTTGGAACAGAGCCTTTTTTATTTCATTAATTTTAACTAGTAGTTTTTCCTTTCTTTTAAAAAATATTAAGGACTAGTGCTTTGCCTATTAGCTGGAACCTGATTCAGGGAGCCATATTCACTTCACATGCATGTATGCAAAATTATATCAACTGTAATTGATAACATATTGTACTTAAGGTATTCATATCGAGTACTTTCAACTGAATTGTTGGGGTAAAAAAATCACATTAATCCTTTCATTCAATTCTAGTTTTGAGTTTGTGAATTTATAAGAGATTTTCCCATTATATGTGCAGCCACTGACAACCCATTCTGTATTAATCCAGAGTATAATTACGCTTCCCACTCAGTGATATGAATTACAGCACTTGTACAGTCACATGCGTTTCTTTTCTTTTCATTAAAAGTTCATGATATTTTTTTTGTGGGGTGAGGGGCTGATTCTCAGCATCTTGTTCATCATGTCATCCGTAGGAGCCCCGTCGCCAAATAAACAAGCGATGGAGAACTTTCTAGATGGAAGTGCTCTATTTTAAGAGCGAAAACTGCCACTCTTATATTATTTAACATGATTACTATGATTTAATATGAGCGATGTATCTTAATAGCAGCACTTTAAGTGAAGAATGTGGAGAAAGTGTATACCCTGGATGAGTAAAAAAAAATGCAAAGTTATTAATCCCACATATCAGACTTTTGCTTAAGTCATTTAAACCATTCTAAGAGTCTTTTAAGGCAATAAGCCATGGTAAGGGGGGAAAAACACTTTTTATATATAATGTCTCATTAATCCTAGTTTGTGAACAGCTGTACAGAAAGCTGGGGAAAATGTTCTTAATTAATACTTTTATTCAGCAAGGATGCATTAAATTGATCAAAACTGACAGTGAAGACATTTATAATGTTACAAAAGATTTCTGTTTCAAATGAATGCTGTTCTTTTGAACTTTCTATACATTACAGTGTTCTTAAAAAAAAACATTAGCACAGTTTCCACTTTCCACAAATCAGCACGAAATCAGCATATTAGAATGATTTCCGAAGGATCATGTGACACTGAAGTAATCATGCTGAAAGTTCAGCTTTGCGATCACAGGAATAGATGTTTTAATATGTTTTCATTTTAATGTGTTTTAAAATGTAATTTATTTAAAATTGCTGTTGCTATATATTAATCAAAACCTTAGTGAGGATTAAAGACATCTGTTAAAAACAACAAAAAATCTTATCAACCACATACTATTGGACAGTAGTGTTAGTACATTTTAAAACAATTTTTAAAAAACAAGCTAATTCAATAGAAAATAAGCATAAGAGAAATACATATAATTGAGTAAAAAATCAGTTTGCTTTCTCTACCCAAACTGTGAATCCTTACCATGACTTTGATCTTTCTCGTTTAGCAGCACTCGGCAGGTGACATCATGATCCGGAACATTCAGCTGAGGCATGCTGGGAAGTACACGTGTGCAGTGCAGACTAAGGTGGACAGCAGCTCCATCGCAACCGACCTGATTGTCAGAGGTGAAAATGCTTTAAAACCCATATAACACATTCACATTGTATATCTCATATCTTATATACAAACACAATCTTTTGCACACTATGACTATTGAATATTAAATGTTCATCATAAAAGCTAACTGGATACAGTGTTACAGACTGTTAAACAAGCTCTTGAAGTATTTACCAAATAAAGGAAAAATGGGTTTTCCTGCTTTAGCAAAAAAGATTACCAATAAAAAATGAGACAATCTAATTAGAGCTTTTAAAGGGCTCATATGATGTTGCTAAAAAGAACATTATTTTGTGTATTTGGTGTAATGAAATGTTTATGCGGTTTAAGGTTCAAAAAACACATAATTTTTCACATACTGTACATTATTGTTTCTCCTCTATGCCCCGCCATTCTGAAACGCGTAGATTTTTACAAAGCTCATCATTCTGAAAAGCGAGGTATGCTCTGATTGGTCAGCTATCCAGTGCGTTGTGATTGGCCTAATACCTCAAGCGTGTGACGGAAATGTTACGCCCCTCACCATACTGTGATGCCCTGTCCCGGCCAGAGCAATGAGACAAAAACATTAAAACCCATTATAAACGTGGCATTTGTTGCATCCAGTGGGGACATAATTACGGATTATAATGACTTATACAGTCTTTTTACGCGTTGCATTGCATTGCGCCGCGTAAACATAAAACCATGTCTGCATTTGTGATCGGAGAAATGACAAACTACAAAACGCTACTCTACACTGCTCAAAACTCGCGTTTGAATCGCCAGTGGCAAATCCTTAAAATATAAAAAACGTACTTGCAGTCTGTGAGATTTACAGTCAGTCTACTCTACCAGGATCAGGAAACAGTCCTCCATAAAATGTGCTGTTCTGTCTCAGGTCCCCCCGGCCCCCCTACCAGCATCCATGTGGAAGAAATCACAGATACCACTGCCACTCTCTCCTGGAGGCCTGGTCCTGATAATCACAGTCCAATTACTGCCTACACCATCCAGGCTAGAACCCCTTTCTCCCTCGGCTGGCAAGCTGTTAGGACAGGTGGGGCTCCTAACCAGCTTTCACTGATCAAAACATGTGCTGCATAGTTTCCTTTTTCCATCCCCCTGCTTTATCCTCTCCTATTTTGTACTGAGATTTTCATCTTGTGTTTCTGAAAGTTTGTTTTGACTCATGTGCCGGCCTTTTGAAGGCTTGCGATAACTTTATGCAATGAAAAAACAAAAATGTCATTATTATACTTTATATTATTAAACTACATATGTATGTGTGTGTATATATATGTATATGTATATATATGTATATATATGTATATATATATATATATGTGTACTGATTTACTAATATTAATTTACAATAATACATTTTATGTTCACCAAGGCTGTATTTATTTGTTCAGAAATAAAACAGTAAAATTGTGAATTATTGTTACTATTTAAAAAGCAGTTTTCTATTTTAGAATATTAATTTAAAATACTAATTTAAAAAATGTTAAAGTTAAATATTTTAAAATAATATTTTGATCAATTTGAGGAATCCTTGCTGAATAAAAGTATTAATTTCTTTAAGAAAAATTCTGAACACAAGTAGATTAGATAGATAGATATTTGATTATAGTAGTCTCGCTAATGAACCCTACACTGTAATATTTTAGGATATTGCAATTACAATATTTTTCAGTACAACATATACAGTGATCTAATGCAATATGACACAACAATATAGAAAAAATTAAGCTGCATTATATCTCTTGACCTCTTTGCTCTTGATTGTACTGTATAATTTGAACTGTAGGGTGTTATTTTTATCTCTGCTTTCACAGCACCTGTCGATAAGCCCGGTTTTTGTATCTTACCTACGGAGCCTATTATCTCACCAAGCTGGAGAGATGCGTGCTGTGCTTGGTGTTTGTGTGAGCGTGCGGGGGGCCTGTGCTGGCTCACGAGGGGGCTCATCTCACACTATGTGTGTGTTTTGTTTTGTTTTGTTTTGTTCCAGTGCCGAAGGTGGTCGGGGGCTCACATCTGACTGCTACAGTCATCGAGCTTAACCCCTGGGTGGAGTGTGAATTCAGAGTGTTGGCAAGCAACGCAGTGGGCACAGGAGAGCCCAGCAAACCCTCAAAGAAAGCCAGGACGAAAGAAACGGGTCAGTGCTTCCGTCACGTTAGTCTGCATGTGGCTCTTTTAATTAGCGTCCTGTGGTGTGATGCACTCTTTCCATGCTTACATTGAATGAGGGAGTCAAACCAGAATTTCATAGAGACTTGGAAGCAGTGCATAGTAAAATACTAAAAAGCACTTTAGCAACCACACAGTGTAATATGCTGCAATGCTTAAGCATTCTTACGGCTTATTTTGTATGGGCAAACACCACTCACATTTCTTCAAAAAGGGTAAAAATTTAGTTATGCATGCAGTTTTATAGCCTCATATAAATTACTAAAAGGCTAAATGGAGTATTTGTACTTTTAAAAATTAATTTCTCACACTGCAGGACCATTTAAGTGAACTGTAAAAGGCAAAAAGGTGCTTAAAAATTGTGAAAGGAATACAAATCTAAAAATATACTCTTGTCTTCATACGTATGGTAATATATAAATAAATATACACTAATGTTTTTGAAAGATGTTTCTTATGCTCACCAAGGATGCATTTTTTTATCAAAAATATTATTTCAATGTAAATAACTATTTTCTGTTTTAATATATTTTAAAATGTTATTTATTCCTGTGATGCAAAGCTGAATTTTCAGCATCATTACTCCACTCTTCAGTGTCACATGATCCTTCAGAAATCATTCTAATATGCTGATTTGCCGCTTAAGAAACATTTCTTCTTATTATCAACATTGAAAACAGTTGCTGCTTAATATTGTTTTGGAAACCATGATATTTTTTAGGATTCTTTGATGAATATAATGTTCAAAAGAACTACATTTTGTAACATTATGAATGTTTTTAGTCACGTTTGATCAATTCAATGCATCCCTGATGAACCCAAACTTTTGAACAGAAGTGTATTTAAAATCATTTTAACTCAGGGACTGCAAAAAGGGGGGGAGGGGGAGGGGAATTATTAAAAATGGTGAAAAAGAAATGGTGACCAGCATCTAAAAAATACACTTGTTCTTATACATTACAACTTAAATCATATCAGTTTTAATTGTCAGGTCACATTCAAATTGTTAAATCATACCATAAAAATGCTCAAATAGAAATAGTCCCCAGCATCTAAAAATATAAACATGTCCATGTACATTAAAACATTGTTTAACATATCATGTCCATATTATTTGTTGAACTTTCAAATCATGTTATAATTTAAGTCTTAAATGGTCAGACCTGAGGTGGACTGAGGAAATCTTTTCCTTCCTCCAGTTCCCAAGGTCACCCCAGCCAACGTGAGCGGAGGAGGTGGTACTCGATCAGAGTTAGTCATCACTTGGGAGGTAAGATGGCCAGTGCACTTCACTCGCTCGTCTGTCGGTGTGTGTGTGTGTGTTTCTCTCCCTTAGTGAGTCTTTTGTATACAGTCTCCTTTTGCAAGCTAGCTAGACACTATTGTTCCCTTTATTTGAGGTTTTCATTAATCATAGTAAAGCGGATACACATAACACTTCATTTTCTGTAAGAGCTGCACAGCAATAACTGCTGCTGTCATACAAGAGAAGCAGCGAAGATAATTAAATGGAGTTACCCTCGAATTTTTGCGAGGAACTTTTCAAAGATTATGTTCTCTCTCTCTGTATCTCCTTTCATGAGACATGTTCTATTGTTCAGGTTTGAGAGTCAGCTGGTGTTATCTATTGAGCTAGACGTTTGTCACAGGGAGCTTGAAACTTCATTTCAAGACTTTCTCATTGTATTGTCTTTGAAATAAAAATGATGGATACCACAGAACACCATCTATTGTGATAGAGAATTTCATGTCTTCTTTTACTCCAAAACCACCATGTCCCACTAATGCAAGGAGTACCGGTGGATTTTACTTTACAAAACCTAGTGTTATATTATATATTAAAATATTTTATTTTAAGACATCATAGGTTCTCATCAAGTATAAGACGGCATCTTTTTTATTTTTTGCAGAAAAATGGTTATACTATAATGCAAGCTCAGAAAAATCCTATCCAAGATGGCAGACAAAGCAAAATAGATTTCAATATTGATACATATTTTTTTATTTTTAACAAAATATTATTTTATGTGAAATTAAATAAATTTTGTACTTGGAAATGGAATGGAAATGCAGTCACTAATATAACAATTTTTATTTAAAAAAATAATGAAATGTTAAATTTATTCATATTCATATATGCGGAATGGAAATACAGTCACTAATATGAAAAATTATATTTTAAAAGATAAATGTGTATTCAATGTATAAATGTATTAATTAGGGGTGTAACAATATTCAAACCGAACCGAAAATGGTACTCTTGGTTCGTTGCCTGTTGTCATCTTTAAATCACAGTAATTACGACATGGCGTGAATGCAGCATTATTTTTCAACGCAAAAGTAAGCCGTTTTCTGTGGATGTGAGACTTCCGGTTCATTAGCCACTGTAGGGAAATAACGAGAAGAATAACAAAGAGCTGTAAATGGTTAAACGGTTTGCACTATAAACCAGTGTGGTCATAATTACTGTTTTTAATTAACTGTTTGCAATATCAAGCAGCATAATGAGTTGTTTTGTACAGCTAAAAATAGCTGGACGCGGATGAGACTGGAACCCATGAACATTAAATTTACAAATGGCCATGCCCGCTCTTACAGGAAAAATAAGGTGGATAGCTGAAATCACATTAAAAAAATTATTAAATAAAATGGGCAATCAAAGTTACAAAACTTACCTTTTAAATGTCTTAAGTAGGCTACTGCATTGTTAACTTAGTAACATGCGCCAAACTTGATGAAATCAGTTGTCAGTCGAATGCTTTTTGTATGATTCCCAGAGATTCTGCTGCTCCAAATCAGCCACGTATGAGGTTTAATTTCACCCACAGTGCAGTCGTAGAAAGCAGCTGACTGTTGTAGGTACTATACAATCAGGCAGCTCATAGGTTTTGGAACACATCCCATTAGTTTTGGTCTCTCCATAGCAAATTGTTTTATTCACAGCAGACACTGGAGTGAGCGCTTGATTACAGATGCATTTTTATTTATCCATTAAGCTCTCATAATCTCACCCTCTTCTTTGAGTCACATGCCATGGTTTCGGACTAATGGATGCTATTTTCTGGTGGTCTCAGCGTTACCGCACCGCATTACTGCATGGTCAGTGACAGGCCGATACTTCAAACAAACCCACCATGATATCATTACCTGGCAAAACGATTTCCTGGGAGATGGAATCCCTCTCTTGCTGAAGAGGCCGGGATGACAGCTGTTGCCTCAGACTGCGCCGCAGCAGAGATTAGCGCTAATGCTCCATCTGATGCCTGACAGGTGTCAGGGAAGTCATACGTCCTGTCGTCTACACGGCCGAAATATGAGAGACAGGAGTGTTTGCACGTAAACTCGAGTTAATAGAAAACACGCCTTACAAACAAGCATCATGGTTACCCAGTGAAACCATGACATTTAGAAGTCATTACCATGGTGCATGTCCAAAAACGTGGTTGTTTTTATCTATTATGTGCATGTATGATGACAATATGTTGGATAGGATTTATAATCAAGGTTATGTAGTGTATTGTAGATGCATGAGTTTTATTTGTGGGTGTGAATGTGCGCTAACGACTGGCTGACTGAACATTATCCTACTAATTACACGACTACTCATCAAATAAATTAATAAATGGACAACTGGACATGAAATATTCATTAAATGATTTTATTATGTGAGCAGAAATATATGAATATGAGAGACTTGAATAGGAAATGCACTACTGTTCAAATCATCTTAAAATCATTAAAGGGGTCATATGAGGTTGCTAAAAAGAACATTATTTTGTGTATTTGGTGTAATGAAATGTGTTTATGCGGTTTAAGGTTCAAAAAACACATTATTTTCCACATACTGTACATTACTGTTGCTCCTCTATGCCCCGCCTTTCTGAAACGCGTAGATTTTTACAAAGCTCATCGGTCTGAAAAGCGAGGTGTGCTCTGATTGGCCAGCTATCCAGTGCATTCTGATTGGCTGAATACCTCAAGCGTAAGTTGATGTATTTCCTCAGCGACCAGCACGGATCAGCTCCAGCATGACGAAGCGAATATCGTCCTCTTTTGGAAGGCCAAACAAAGTTTCCCTTTCATAACAAAACACACAGCGCCTTCACGACATGGCGGCAGCAACAATACTACAGCGAGAATAAAAGTTACATCTTCTTTCTTTGTGTGAACATTTGGGTGGCGTTATGCAATTCTTCCCACATCGTGATGTAGGTATGTGGGGGCGTGTTAGGACGAGCCGTTTTAGGTAGGCATGGTTGACCATGAACTTTTATAAAGAATATCTCTTTGGATTTGAGACTTTAGTCTTTGCAACTTTACAGATCTTCTTTATGCACCAAGAGCTTGTAACACTTCAAAGAGAAAGGAAAAATTTTAATCGCATCATATGACCCCTTTAAGATTTTTTTATGTTTTTGAAAGAAATGTCTTATGTCCACCAAGGCTGCATTAAAAATGCAATTAAAATACAACAAAAAAAGAGTAATATTGTATCACAATTAAAAGTGTTTAATTTATTTTAAAATATATTTTTTATATTTTAAGCTGTTATTTACAGTATCTCACAGAAGTGAGTACACCCCTCACATTTTTCATGTGACAACACTGAAGAAATAACACTTTGCTGCAATGTAAAGTAGTGAGTGATATAGCTGGTGGATGTTAGAGACCTTGCCCTCCTCCACCTTCCGTTTGAGGATGCCCATGCTTAGCCAATCCATCACCTTTACCCTCAGCTTTTTTTAGCAAGGCAGTGGTTCTGGGATGACAGCCATGCAGACCAATTTGATGCAGTGTGTGGCGTGTGGTCTGCGCACTAACAGGCTGACCCCCCACCCCTTCAACCTCTGCAGCAATGCTGGCAGCACTCATACGTCTATTTCTCAAACACAACCTCTGGATATGACGCTGAGCATGTGCACTCAACTTCTTTGGTCGACCATGGCGAGGCCTGTTCTGAGTGGAACCTGTCCTGTTAAACCGCTGTATGGTCTTGGCCACCGTGCTGCAGCTCAGTTTCAGGGTCTTGGCAATCTTCTTATAGTCTACGCCATCTTTATGTAGAGCAACAATTCTTTTTTTCAGATCCTCAGAGAGTTCTTTGCCATGAGGTGCCATGTTGAACTTCCAGTGACCAGTATGAGAGAGTGAGAGCGATAACACCAAATTTAACACACCTGAGACCTTGTAACACTAATGAGTCACATGACACTGGGGAGAGAAAATGGCTAATTGGGCCCAATTTGGACATTTTCACTTAGGGGTGTACTCACTTTTTGTGGCCAGCGGTTTAGACTTATTTTGAGGGGACAGCTAATTTACACTGTTATACAAGCTGTACACTCACTACTTTACATTGTAGCAAAGTGTCATTTCTTCAGTGTTGTCACATGAAAAGATATAATAAAATATTTACAAAAATGTGAGGGGTGTACTCACTTCTGTGAAATACTGTATTCCTGTGATGCAAAGCTGAATTTTCAGCATCATTACCTCCTTTAAAAATCATACTAATATGCTGATTTGATGCTTAAGAAACATGTATTATTATCATCAATGTTGAAAACAGTTGTGCAGTTTAATAAATTTGTGGAAACTGTGATGCACTTTTTTTTTTCATTTGATGAATAGAAAGGTCAACTGAACATTTATTTATTAAAATTGTTTGTATTTTTTTTTTGTAACAATGTAAATGTCTTTACTGTCACTTATCAATTTAATGTGTCCTTGCTGAATAACAAATGTTAGTGACTTGAAGCTTTCGACCCTATAATGTGAACCTATAATATCCTGTATAATATAATATAATCTGAGCTCTTACAAATTGTTCCTCTGAATCTCCTCCACTGTTTAAGCTTCAACAACTCAACTGAAGTGTCACTGGGGTTTTGACTGTGATTTTAAATCATGCTCTTGTTTAATGTTGAAAACAGTTGTGCAGTTTAATAAATTTGTGGAAACTGTGATGCACTTTTTTTTTTCATTTGATGAATAGAAAGGTCAACTGAACATTTATTTATTAAAATTGTTTGTATTTTTTTTTTGTAACAATGTAAATGTCTTTACTGTCACTTATCAATTTAATGTGTCCTTGCTGAATAACAAATGTTAGTGACTTGAAGCTTTCGACCCTATAATGTGAACCTATAATATCCTGTATAATATAATATAATCTGAGCTCTTACAAATTGTTCCTCTGAATCTCCTCCACTGTTTAAGCTTCAACAACTCAACTGAAGTGTCACTGGGGTTTTGACTGTGATTTTAAATGTGAGTTTTAGCACTCCATCGTTTTGTCTTCATTCAATCATTTGCTGATTCATTCTCTTTCAGGTCCCAATGCCATCGGCTCGGCTTCCAGTGTGTCCACTCTCTCTGCTCTCAGTACAATAGCTCTCTCCCTCACAGCTCGCACATCTTTATGACAGAACACAGCGCGGGCCGCTGACTTCAGACGAAACATTCTTCCTCGAGAGGAGACTGAGAAAAGTGACTCAGATCGATGAAAACCCATTCATACAAACCAGAGGACCTACATGAACAATAATACTAGGATAAAGAGAAAAAGATTTTTAAAAACGGGTGTGTGGTTCGCTAGCCAATTCAAAAAAGATTGAAGGCTGATGGGATTGAGTTTGATCTTACCAAAGCAGCTTAAAAAACAGAGGAAAATGTCACATGCTTCTTTTGTATGTACAACATATCTTAGCTTTTTACTTTTTTGTTTGATCCAGTCGGTCTGTCTTTTCCTATTACAGTACGCCGGGTGTGTAGGAACTGCTTTAGATGCATGTCATGTACAATGTTTTGTAAGAGAATGTGTCTGAAACGTAATCATTTAGAGCAAGACATATTTGGCTGAAAACCAACTAATCATCATAACATGAGGTGACGGCCCTCTGAGGGTCACCCGTACTTACAAGCTAAGAATCTCCAAGGACTTCTTACTGTTTACGACATGGGAATACTTGCACTGAAATCACGTCTGGAAGAAAGTGAACAACAAAAAAATAGCATCTTGACCAGAAACTCGAGAGAATGCTGCTACAAGGCTAAGTTGGACGTCTCTTTTTTTCTGTCATCTTCTGCTTATCTGTTTGTGTGTCACATCTAGAGCTCTTCTTTGCCTTTTGTGTGCCTCATTGTGTGTTTTTGAAATCCTCAGGTCCTCAGAAAAGCCTTAATACATATTTCTTAGCATTACGTACTTCGATAAGTGCTGGACGCCAGGTTTGTGAGTGGTTAGTCAAGCGGGATGCTGGGGTTTGAGTAGTTGGTGCGAGTTTATTGCTTCCATGTTCCATATTATAACAGCCGTATGCTGTTCCCAATTGTTTCAAGGCAATACAGTGTGTGTGCGTGTGTGTGACCTCTGCTAATGTAGAGGCTACGAGCGCTGCATTTTTTTAAATGTCACGTGGGATTGGTGCGATGAAAGTAGCTTGCCATTTATTTGAGGTGCAAATAGACGTACTGCTTAAAGGGACATGTGGAGCTCTGAGACTGAGTGAAAACAAATGTATGTAAATGCTTTTTTTTTGTATATTCCAGATAATTTATATTTAAGTGGACGACATCAAAGTTTCCTACAAAACTCATCTTGGTTTTTATCTAACAAACAGAATAGACGTTTCTTAGCTTAGCGTGGCTCTGCATGTGGATGTATTCATTCCATTCTTGATTCATTAGGTACTAACCGATGAACTTTCGACGAAAGGATACAAATAAGTTACAGTCATCCATTTCTGAAGATTTGTGTATCGGTGTGTCTGTCATAGCCAGAACGCTCTTTCTCTAAGCAGTGCTTTCCACCAAACTTCTTTGGCTTTATCAGAACTCCATTTATTGAACCGTATAACTTTTTCCTCCAAGGTTCTCTGTTTATACTGGATCACAAAATAAATTACATTTATAAAAATGATCACACAAATGTTTTGATTGGGTGCATTATCTGTGACGGGCTAACGGAAAATGTGATTATAAAGTGCCTAATATAACAGTTCAACCAGTAAATTTTGTCAATTGCTCACATCATTCCAAACCTCTATGACTATTGTGTAGCTTCATAAAGGACAAGTAAAGCACTGTTCAAAATCTTTTGAAGCTTTCTATGAGAAATAGCTAGATCAAAAGGCCAAAAAGTTATTGGAGTAACTTTTTCTTATAGTGTTGCTCTACCCAAGTATGAATATTGTCATCATTCACTCACCCTCATGCCGTTTCAAACCTGTATGTCTTTCTTCTGTGGAACAAGATATTTTGAAGATTTTTTTGTTGTTTTTTTCCCCGAGAAAGAAGCTAGTCATCCAGGTTTGGAATGGTGAGAGGCTGAATAAATGACAAAGGTTTTATGTTGGACAAACTACTTATAGAAATGTAAATAATTTTATGTACAAACAACGTACACTAAATCATGATCAACTGTGATCCGAGAATTTTGGAAACTCAATATCGCCTCAACGTGAGAATTTTTTTTTAATTAGTCATTTTAATAAAGTCAGTTGCTGCCATGTTTTGAGTTATAAGGTCACAATTGGGAGATATAAAATTCCAATTTTTCCTCTGTAACCATTTACAAAGTTGGCAAGTGTGTGATGCCTAGTGCTGTAAAATCTGCTGACAGCATGTAGTGTATCCCAGCCTTTACTCATATGGGTTTAGAATGAGATAAGGAAACATATAAAAGACAGAATTTCATTTTTGGATGAACGAACCCTTTAATCAAACCGAAAACAAATGACCAAGCAAATTCCATATTTCACAACAGATAACATTACAGGTTGATTTGAAGCCACATGATATCATGCAGTTGTGATGCAGTACACTAGAATGTCCACTATGTGGTGTGAAAGGCATCCTCTGTGTAGACTAGACCAAGACTGTTTTGACCTCGACTGTACAAATAGCACATTTTACAAAGTGAGCTTTCTAGTGTAATTACTACCCTAAGATAGGAACATTTCCAGACAAAATTAGTTATTGTCACATCAATAAATACAGTATGATCCCAAAAATATGAAAGCACTTGTCATTTCTTGAATGCAACGCTGACTGGTGTTCAGATTGTGGAGACATACACTGAAAAAGACTGTTATACAATGCAAAAAATATATATTTTTTTTGCAATTATTTATTGTTAGTCAGGAACAGACTACAATAGACACATTTTATGTCACAAAATTATGTTGAAGGAAACATTTCCAGTTTTATTTTCAGCTACTGGTATTTTGGTCAGTCACTATTCAATGGCAGCCGTGTCACAGCAGAGTATGAAACGTCTCGGCACTTTAGATGTTTTAATCATCACAAAGCAAACTTGGCCTTAAAGCATATTTTTCAAAAGGAGTCCGTCGTCGAGTTCACCTTCAGCCAGAGTTGGTCTGCGGGGAGACGCTGTGTTTAATACACTGACAGCAATAACAGAGATGATGTATGAGTATATAATAAAAAGCTAATTGGGAGCATCTGGGGCCAAAAGGAAGAATTCCTGAAGAAACCATGAAGCAGCTGTTAAGACGGAGTCATAATAGAGATCAATGGAGTTCCACTGGATGATTTACTCTCTTATAGATGCTGGAGGTGACTGACGGCTGCTATTCACTCCCCGTCTTCCTCCCCGACCTCCATCTGCTCCAAGATTCCCTCTAACACCTCCGCCTTCCTCTGCTTCTTAGGAGCATCTGAGAGAGATGATAAGGGGACAGATTTGTGAACAGATTTGTTTTAATTCAATTATAGAAGGCAAATGACTAGAATTGCAACCAGTGTTGGGGAAACAACTTCAAATTAGGAGTAGCTCGTGCTTTGGCAAGCAGTTAATCAACAGTCAAACTGCAATTTGGAAAAAGTATAGAAAAGGTTAGTTTTAATTGTTGTTTTAAATTTTGTCACTATTTAAGGGGGCAAAATCTTTCAAATTATGTATTAAATAAAAAGAATCAATACTGATTTTGAAACTATCTGGCACTAAAACTATGAATAGACTATAAATAGAATCAGGCATTGGTTTAATTGACAAATACAAAAAATGAAAGGCTGTAACAAATTAGTATAATTATTCGGGCAACTATTTATTTGATTCATAAAAAAACTCAAATTTCTGGAAGCGACAGGATTAAATGAAACAGTCACTAAATTATGCAATAAATTAAGTTAAAGAACAAAGCCACAAATAATATAGATAAGTAATTATATAAATATAATTACAGATAATAAGGGTTATATAGAACATTTATTCACACGTAGAACAATTATTTTCAGTATTTTTTAGCACTTTTCAGTCATTTTTTTTTTATTTACTTTTTTTTTTTTTTTAATAAACCTAATTAAGATAATTTGAAAACAGATTAAACTGAGAATTTGATGTTTATTTCACCAACAAAAAAAATAAGGAATTCTGGGAAAACTACTGAAAGATAACTATTGAAAACCAGTGAATATCTAGCAATTAGTAAATCTGTTTTATGAAGCAGCCAGTTCATTGAAATCACCCATCCAACAAACTGATTCATTAAAGTGCCAGAAAAACTCAAAATTGTAACATGTTACAATGCTACCAAAAATAGTTTGTTATTGAGAAAACGTAAGCAAATCAGCTTATTAAAATGATTCCCTAAGAATCAAGTGACACTAAAGACTAAAGTAATGGCTGCTGAAAATTTATCTTTGCCATCAAAATAATGAACTACATTTGAAAATATATTAAAAGAGAATACAGACATTTTAAGTTACGATTATATTTCACAATATTACCTTTTTCTGTATTTTTTATTTTTGAAAAGATCTGAGCTATTGTACTTAAAATAAGGTAAGTGTGGCAAATTTTAAGAAGTTACTCATCAAAACTGCTTGCAACTGTCAACGCAAAATAACTTGACTGTGTATAAAGCAGAGATTTTACCATGAAAATGTTGTGCGGTTTTCCGTCTCAGGTCGTCCACAGTCTCCTCTGCATCCGCCCACTCCAACACCAGCCTCCTGCCGTAAAGATGGGTACTGTGACACAGCGCTGTGAACGCTTTCTGTAAGAAACGAGCATGAAATCAAAGCTAGTGTTAGATTTCCTGCACATAGTGGACCAGATCAATGTTGATTAGTTGTTTCACAAGAGACTACCTGACTGTGAAAAGAGACAGAAAGATACAGAGACAGATGCACCCACCTTGGCATCTTGTTTAGTAAGGAAGTCAATGAAGCCAAAACCACGGTGGGCTCCACTGATCCCTTTCTTTGGCAGGCGGACTGTCTTCAGCTCTCCAAACGTGCTGATAAAAAGACATGAATCCAACATTACATACTACACCTGCACTTCAAAACTCACATGACAGACTATTACACGGGTACCATGTCCAAAACCATGATATTAGCATAGTCATTTTTGTTAGTGAAAAATACTTGTTTTCAATGTTCTATGAAACACAATGAAAACAACACAAATGGCCATTAAATGTGAAACAAGGCTGACCAGAAGAGTTCTCGCAGTTCTTTAACTGTTGCCTGGAAGGGGATGTTTCGCACCAGGATCTTAGAGGTCGTCTGCTTCCTGGCAGTTTGCTTTTCCCTCTTGGATTGAGGCACGCCTGACCTGCAAAAACAACAGGAGGAAAACAGCTGTCACTTATGCGTGTGCCTAGTATTCAAACAGACTAAGAAACCACATTTAAAAGCAATGACAAAGTAATCTAAAAATAAATCTTCACTACCCCAATTCACTTACTTGACTTCTCTTTCTGATATTTTCAGCTCAAGCTGGTGTTCATCTACTTTACAGTGCTGCAAGAAAAATGAAAGAAGTAATGAAAAAAGTTGCCTGAATCGATTTCATCACATGAATATTTGTGCATAATAAGAGTACATAAATACGGCAATGAAACGGCAGCAGATGGTCATTTACCTGCAGCTGTCTCATGGCTTTCTGTGCTGCCTCTGGAGTTTTGTACTGCACAAAGCCATAACCCATTGATAACAATTTACCTGAGAGAGTGACAGAGAGACAAAGAGATCCAGGTGAGATTCACACAGCGAGGAAAAAAGATGTGAGAAATGAGAAAAAAAAAAAAAGAGAGAGAGCAAAACCAAATACACAAATACACAGATGAAATCGATATGGTAAATATGACTGAAAACAAACCTGCTTTAGCTTTCTTCTTTGATATTGTGCAGCTTTTCACCACACCACATTTAGAAAACGTCTGTCAAAAGAGCACAATGAAAGCCATATGGTGAGACATGGGCCATGTTTACACCTGCTATTAACATAACATCTGTTTTGGGTGATCTGATCACACAACACATGTCGTTGTGGCCTCTGCGCTCACCTCCCGTAATGCTTCCTCTGATGTCTTGAAGTTGAGGTTTTTAATGAAGAGAGTTGAGCCGGGCAATATTAGCTCTTCCTCTTCCTCCTCCTCCTCCTCCTCCTCTTCTTCCTTTCTGGCCGAGTCATTGTTCTCAGCAGATGTATCTTTTTTTTGAGCCTCTGGGAGGAGAAGGATGGACATGAAGGAGAAAAATGACAGTAATGTATCAAGTGACAGTAAAGGCAATTTTAAATTTACAAAAGATTTCTATACTAAATAAATGCTTCTGAATTTTCTATTTATCAAAGAATCCTGAAAAAAAAACAATCTTGGTTGCCAAAAATATGTATCAGTACAACTGATAATAACATTCATAATAAGAAATGTTTCTTGAGCACCAGTTAACTAGTTTCCTTAAAACCTATTTAATCTGCATATAAAACATTAGAAATTAGATATTGGTTTAATTTTTATTGTGTGTTTGACTGTTAAAACAAAAAATATTTATTGTTTGTCTCAATAAATTGGGTTCACTTAAAAATACAGTGGTTAAATTTTTTTTTTAATTCTATCGCTCTTCGTTTTAAAAAAATGAAATAATTATTGTCAATAATTTTCGATACCGAACGATATGAAACATTATATCGTTGATACATTTTTTTGCTATATCGCCCAGCCCTAGGCTCGGATATGAACATTTGAGTCCTTAGGCATACATACACCCTTCATAGAAGAGATGAACTGCTGGTTTAAGCACCAGCAGGCTGATATGTCAGGATTAAAGGATTACCTGGTTTAGGTGCTGTGGGAGTTGTAAAGACTGCTACAGGAGCCCACTCCAGATACAACGGAACATGCTGGAACTGAAGAGACAGACCGTATAATATCATACCATGTCGCAAGTTTTATTAAACTAACCAAAATTCCTTTTTACATTTCAGTACAGTATTTTTGCAGTGAGAACAGTAGCTCACATGCCCATCACAAACGTGTCCCCCACTGACCTTGGTGTATGCAAGTTTCATGAAGGCCCGCTTGGCTTCGGTGGGCTCCAGGAACTCCACTATGGCAGTGAGGCCAGATGGGGGCAGCAGAACTCTTCCTAGAGATCCATGGGGTGAGAACAGAGCCTCCAGCTCTGCGACCTGCACTCCTGAGGGCAAGTTCTTCACCAGGATCACAGAGTTACTGCGCTGGCCTGCTGCCTAAACGGATGGAAATCACAGACACATAAAACACGATTCATGCAGATACAAACAGATACCATAGATTTGCACACAGTAGGCATCACATTTTTCTGTGCAAATTAAGCGAACTGTGGAATTCCGATGCAGAACTGGAATTCAGATGATTGGAAAGCTCTGCAGACTCCATGCAGGCCTAATTATGAATTATGCTCACATTTTAACTTTAAATAGATGGCTTAGTAACAACAACGTCAGTGTTTCAAATAGGAATGCACAATATGTCTGTAACAAATCAGTAATCAGGCAATATTAGTTTCTTTTTAATGTATTGATCGCAGGCGATATTGGATATTTTCACATTTAGATTACCCTAAATACACCTAAAATTTCTTTAAGTATTTAAAAAGATTGATTTTAGTTTGATTTTTTCATTTATGTTACACATAGAATATAACATTAATATTTAATCAAATCTAAAAATAATTTATCTCTTTTGTCAGAATTTTAATATCATGCCTAATTTTTAATAAAAAATATCTATTATAGAAAAAAGATGGATTTATAGTTTAAACAAACAAACTGATATGTCAGTATGACAGAAATCACTTACTTTTTAAGTTGACTGCATTTACACTACCATTTAAAAGTTTGGGGTTGGTAAGATTTTAAACGTTTTTTTAAAGAAGTCTCTTATTCTCACAATAGCTGCATTTATTCAATCAATTATTACAAAAATAATTATTATTACTAAATACATTACTAATAATTTATTATTATGACTAAAAAAATATTACAATTTAAAAGAACTATTTTCTATTTTAATATATTATAACACGTAATTTATTCCTGTGATGCAAAGCTGAATTTTCAGCATCATTACTCCAGTCTTCAGTGTGACATGATCCATCAGAAATCATTCTAATATCCTGATTTTGGCCCAAGAAAAATTTCTTAGTATTACCAATTGGTTATAAAACAGTTTTGCAGCTTTTTATTTGAAACAGAAATATTTTGTAACATGATAAAATGCTTTAATTGTCCTTGCTGAATAACTGCATTAATTTCTCAAAAAAAAAAAAAAAAAAGAAATTACTGACCCCAAACCATTGACTTTAACTATGTGAGCAAAGCACACATACTATACCTGACTGAATGAGTCCAGAGACACTCCACTGTCCAGGAGAAACTGTCTGGTCTCTTGTACGATCTGTGTCTCTCCGAGGGCCATCCTCACAGCCAGACTCCCATCAGACTCCTGAAATCATACACAAATCCAAAGTCACTACATTGATCCTCTCCAGAACAAGAGAGACCATTTTTAGGTCCCAAATACTCACGTGATCTAACACTTGGCTCTTGGTCGTGTTGTATTTCTCAGCGATGGCATCGGCTACTGCACTCGTGCCCAAAAACAACGTGTTCCAGTTATGAGAGCTGTGCAAGAACAAAATTGTGAATACCTCCAGTAAATGTTTTCCACTTCAGACGGTTCATCAAATGCTGACCTGCGACTGGCGGCTTTGTCTTTGGCATCTTTCTGCCTCTTATACGAGGAGCTGCCTGGAGCATTGGGCCCTTGATCTGGCTTTTCCTTCTTCAGCCTTGAAGCCATGACGTGCAGAACCCGCCCCTACAGGATGCAGACAGTTCTAAGAAAGCAAATAAAACCACATGGACACAAATGAGGGTAAATGATTGGATCAGTACCTGGAATACGTGGCCATCCAGTTGAGCCAAGGCTGAGACTGCGTTCTCTGGTATCATGTATGTCACAAAGGCAAAGCCCTTGGGCTTCTTAGTCAGACTGTCTATGGGAAAAAGCACCTCAGAAAGAGGACCTGATAAGAGACACAAGAAAAATATTTGAGAAATTGTGCGGCAGACTGTAACTCCCATTTCCCACATTGTTTAGTGCCGATAATAAGGCGTGTCATGTGACTCGTCACCATATTTGATGAAGACTTCTTTCAGTTCTTCTTCGGTGCAGGTGTAGGGCAGGTTCCTGACAAAAAGTCTTCCTGATTCCGCCACGTCTTCCTCTTCCTCATCGTCCCTCAGCTCGTGCACAAACTTTCTTTCCTTCTCAATTCTCTTTGCAGACCTATCATTTGTAAAGTTTTTGGTTCTGAACACTTCAATATAGCGTCCCCCTGTGGGTTTACACAGATATTGCACATGCATTGAGATCTGAAATCAGCCTTATTTGTAGTACTTGTTTTCAAAAAGGTTATCCTCACAAATCAAAACACACAGGATCTTTTCGCCACAGTTGTGTACTTGAACAATTGCTTACCCATGTAGTCTTTGTTAAAGCGCAGGGCTCTCTCGACCTCTGCCTCTGAGTGCAGGTCCACATACACATAACCTTATGACAGGAAATTTGACATTAATCAAATGGCACCAGAATGAAATTTTTAAATCAGCTACAGATGGTAAACAACAGATGCTCTTACCTGATTTGCGTCCGTCACTGTTTTTACCAAATCGAATGGCAACAGGTTTTAAAGGCACCATAAATTCTCTCACTTGTTGCTACAATGAAGTGATAAATCAGTCAGATAGAACAAAATTTAGGCAAATAAAAAATGACTGTCTGAAACGATTTTAGAAAACTTATATGCATAAATTATAAGCTAGCTTTATTGATTTATGTACCAATATTGCAAGTAACTGTCCATATGAATAATGGATAAATGTTCCAATTTTAAATTCATATTTTCCATTCAAAAATGTGGGTTCTGTAAGGTAAATAATGATAATAATACCTTTGATCAGCAAGGATGCATTAAACTGATCAAAAGTGACATTGAAGATTTCTAATATTACAAAAGATTTCTATATCAACAAATGCTATGTTCGATTTTCTTTCTAATGACTGCTGAAAGGTCAGCTTTTCCATCAGAGGAATAAATTACATTTTAAAATAAATTAAAATATCAAACAGCTAATTTAATCTGCAATAATATTTCCCAAAATTACAGTTTTTTTTCTGTATTTTTGATCTAATAAATGCAACCTTGGTGAGCAGGAGAGACTTATTTGAAAAGCATGTCAAAAAAATCATATCAATCCCAAACTTTTGAATAGTAGTAGTGTATATTATTACCATTACATTATCAGGAATATAATATCTTTCCTATATATAAAAAAAATGGTAAAGGTTTATGTTACTGCGTTCATGTTTCACACATTATAATTAATTACTATACTAATAACAACAACTGTGTGTAATTATGAGCTCCAAGAAATAACACAACGTGTACCTGTAGTTATTTATAATTACTCTGTAATTATATATGTAAAAATAAACATGAACACTGTCAAATAAACTTAAATTAAACCTAAAGTGCAAAAAATAGAGGACGGACCTGGTAACCTTAATAAACTCAAGTCAGACCGTAAAAATAAATTAGAATTAATGGATTAGAATGTTATACTGGGAATTTATGTGCGTGTCTGAAATAGATTCTTGTGCATGTCACTGTAATACAATGAAATGATCAATAACCGATATCTCACCTCTTTGACGTTGAATGGGGCACCTCGTAGCTTGACTGTGAACTCTGTGCTCGGCTCAATCTATAATAGTGTATGAACAGCATAAAGAAATGAGCCTCTAATAGCCAAACTATTCCCTATTAAACCTCATGTTTTATCACACTGACCATGTTCTGAGCTGCTGGTTTTGTGCTTTTCTGGCTGCTTGTCTTATCACCACTCTCATAAGCACTGTCTATGTTTTGGGCCGGGGACTCCTCTTCCTCTTCCTCTTCCTCTTCTTCCTCTTCCTCCTCTTCCTCCTCTTCCTCCTCCTCCTCGGCAGCATTAGCACTGTCACCTTCTTTTTCTTCATGCTCATCCTCTTCCATCTCTTTCTCATCCACCATGTCTGATTTCTCCACAATTTTGGAGCGAAGATAATCCATATCAGACAGATCTTTCTTCAATGCTTTCTTATCAGTATCTGGTGAGAAAACACATTTGGAGAGAATGAGACGTCACAATTATGCAATCAGAAAGTGAGAGGATCATCTGGTAGTGTCTAGAAGTAAGCACAAAGTTCTTACCTTGTTTGTCCTCTTCATCAGCATCTTCATCTTCCTCAGCCTCACTAAATTCCTCTGATTCATCAGAGTCAAAGTTCAGGTAATCATTACTAACAGCTGCTCACTGCTTCTTCTCCTCCTCCTCCTCCTCCTCCTCCTTCTTCTTCTTCTTCTTCTTATCAGCCCCAACAGAAGTCGCTTCCGTAGAGTCATTGGCCCAAGTGGGCACCTGTGTGCGTTTCTGGTGCACAGCGAGGAACTCCTGGAAGCTCTGGTCTTTTTCAAGCTGAGGATTACAAATTGCATTTGATACAATCTCTGCATATTTATTCGAGTATGATTTATGTCATGCAAAGAGCAGCATACTTACATCTCCAAGAACATTCAAAGGCTTCTTCTGCTTCTGTGGAAATGGAGTGAAAGCATAAATTCAGTTTGACTTATGAAAAATCAATCAGACCTTCCAATAAAACAGTTTGCAAACAAAAGTGAGTGGATCAGTGCAGACATAGAAAAAGTGACAGTAGAGCTGCACAACCTTTTCGTCTTTTTCTCCTTGTTCACGTGATTTTTGTTCTTCTGTAACTTTGTTTGATGGTTGGCGTGTGTGTTTGCTCCAAGGTCTGGCTTTGTTTGGGTCTCCAAAATCAGTGCAGAATTCCACCTTATTCAGACAGATAATGGATAAGATGAGAATTAGAAGACAAATGTTAAAATAAATTGTTTACTATATTAAACACACTCTCTCTCTCTCTCTCTATATATATATATATATATA